ATCATATGGTGGTTACGATCATTGAGTATGAGATTGCGTAACCTATTGACATCGATTTTCATTCATGAGCATTTTCATATGCATGCACGACATGTGATTATGGTTGAAAATCCTGCATGCAAAACATGATTTCAAAGTGAGTTTCATTATAAATGTTTTATTGACCACTATTAGGGCACCGAGACATGTGAGGCATGCTTATGTGATATGTTTGGCATTGCGGGTGTTACTTCCTGGGTGATTGAAAAGTAGATAGGGGATGGGCCTTTGGTGATCACGGGAGGGCGGACCACTCGACTATGCCCTTGTTATGATTATTGGCGCTGTCGGATGGGAGACTTCTTGGGTGATCATAGGGGTAGTCAGGGGATGGGCCTCTAGTGGTCACGAGAGGATGGTCCACTCGCCGGTGTCGATTTCATACTGGCCATTTGATTATTGATATTGATATTATGCAGAGCTCTATCCGGTGCATAGTAGGTGGGTTAAGGGCCCAATGAAATGAAAGATTTCAAGTGAAATGATTTCTAGTCGCCTTTGACGAATATTGAAATATGATACTTTTTATCGTGATATTTAAAGTAAATGGCATGGTATCATATGTCGTTATTACTCATGTTCAGGACATGCATGATTTTGCTTACTAAGCATTGACTTATGTAGTTCTTGCATTGTAGGTGAACATGGAACTACATAGAGAGCATGGCTAGCTGTGGAGCTCCTACAGGATTCCAGAGTTCGATGTACATGGATGACGACCTGTAGGGTTATTTTGTAGGCTGCCATCTGTTGGGTTATATTTTGGAATCCTATATAGTGTACTTTTGAAATGGCTTGTAGACATGTTTATAAGCTCTGAATATATATGTTGGATTATGGCGATATGATTTTGGATTTCGATATATTATATGATCATGTCACAGGTGATTAGAAGTTAACAAACTCAAAAAAAAAAAATAGATGTAAAATTCTATGTCTAGGTTATGTATAGATATCCATATTAATTTGGGGGTGTGACAAGTTTAGTCTTAACGAGTGGCAGATCTAGGAAAAATTCAGGATGGGCTAAAGAAAAATCACACATAAATAAATTACGTAATTTTTTTTTAAAATTAACATTTAGACTGGAGGGATGGGTTGTAGCATGGCCCAGCCCATCCTAGATCCATCCTTGATCTTAACTTATTGCAAATAAGTTTTTTGCAACCACGATGTACAGATTTTAAGATAATAGGAAAAATACATCCAAAAAAATTTTAACCATCACGACATTATATTAGAGTGAATTAGTGAACATCTAACCTTATAAGAGACAACCCCTTATATCTCAAGTGAATTTAGTTCCACAAAATCCCATTATTTTGGTCAACTGTATTTACACTTTAAAAGCCACAATGAAAAATTCTAAACGAATAGGGCCTGTCACCATGCCCAGTTGATAAGGCAGGGGCTGAGGCGGTCACTAGGCCTTGTTTGTGTAGAAAAGCTTCCACACAATATGACACAACACGAGTGATAGGCCCGATTGACAAGGCAAGGGCTGAGGCGGTCATTAGGCCTTGTTTGTGTAGAAAAGCTCCCACACAATATGACACAACACGAGTTTTGACCAATAATTCAATACAAATATTATAAGATAGGACCTAACTCCGGGGTGGGAAGTGGGGTAACTCAATTGTCCCACTACTAGTCGAGATGCGGGCACTAGCTAGACTGCCACTTGATTTTGCAAATTGCTCATTGTAGGCTCATGTGGGAGCCGGCTCGCTCATGTTAGAAAAATATGCATTTTCTAAAAGAAATAAAATAAAATCGCACGATAAGTTGCGCTTTGATTGAGCGAACCAAGCGCAACGGTAGGCGAGTCAAGCAGTTCGACTCTCCATTTTACACTCCTAGACCTAACAATACCTTTTACATCCATCTATAGATAAAAACTTTGTACATTTATGTAGAGAATATAAAACATGATCTACAAAATTTTTAATTACAATATTACTCCGCTTAACAAAATTTTATGATTTTTATTGATAATTATGCAATGCAACAAGCATTAGGATTTTCATCTGAAAATAGCTGGGGAGAGGGAATTGTTTCAACAACATAGAAGGGCTGATAATAATGCATGAGTTTATGCATCGACTCTTCATCTCTAAAATTCATTTCTTCTTCTCCAATGAGATCATTTTTGTTTTCCTCAGTTTTTTCTTCCTTTCTTATGTCCTGTTTGGCTTCTTCAACTGGCTTTTCTTCTTCCTTTTTCCCTTCAGGCTTTGGTACAATTTTGGCTTGCTTTCTAGTACTTTTGTAGACATAATCAACGAGCTCGTTTGCGTCCATAGTACCTGTAACCTTAACTTTCCCGGAGCTAAATTCTGTCTCAGCTGTTTGCACTCCTGTAATTAATCCATCAAAATCATTGTAAATCATGTTTGAATGTACAATCAAAAGAGTGAATTGTGTGTAGTCTAATCATATTGTTGATTGAATTGTTCGATTGCGTATTTTTATGTTTATTTTGAGTTAGAAGTTACATTGGATACTTCGATTATGCATTAGGTCTTTCATATATTCTAAAACGTATAAAAATGAACAAAATTAAAATTAAGTTTGAAGGTGTGCTAAGCTTTTGTTTGGTGTAACTTAAATAGTTGATTCAAATTCAAGTTAAAATCCACAATTAATTTTAACCATACATTTTATAGAAACTCGCAATTCTTAATAACTTTTCACCCATACGTTTTATAAACTTCTATAAAAATCAACTAAAATTATATTTTAGCAACGTCAAATAAGGGCGAAATTTTGAACTTGACTATGTCAAATCTTTGAAAGGATTTGGACACAAATTGTACCCTATGCTAAATTCCCATTTTGCCCTTGAAGGGTTCGCACAGGTATATAAAGGATCCATTTTTGGCGTATACAAGTGGCGAATTAACTTCGTCTCTCTTTTCAGCATTATAGTTAAACCACTGTAAACCCGTTTGGTGTGGCTTTTCTGGAAATATTTCTTCCAAGTTGTCAATTTTATTTCCCTTCCACGTCAAAAGTTGAAGGGCGAAATTGACATTTCAGCTAAAAGCTTACTTGAATATTGGTTTGTCAATTGTGAGGGATGACCATTTTTTTTGCGTTAAAGATACAAAACGGAACTCACTTGGTTGTTGCATATACTCGATTTTCTAAGAAAATTAGCTAAGTCTATGTCTATTTTATTAATTTTCTATGTTTTGTGTCTTTCGAAGGTAGGAATAAGAAAATGTTACCTTTCAATTTGAGTATCTTTCTCTTAAGTTGCCGGGCACAAGCTAAGCAATGCATCTTGACATTCAATTCCACTGTAGTTATTTTGCTAGTCTGGACGCGGAAAAATTAAGCACTTTAAGGACTAGAAATAAAATAAATATCGGAGTTCAAAGTTAAAATCTTGTATGTTCTATTCGACCTGTAAGGCAACAATTTCTGGCATATTTTTGTCCTCAGATACTGGCGATGGAGATAAAACTTCAACACTTCTCTTTGTTTTCTTGATGATTTTGTCACATACAGCTTGAGCATCCACAACTCGCATTATGGTTACTTGATTTTTCTCCATGTCAACCACAACTCCCTCAACTCCTGTCAAGATCAACCAATCACTACAATTGCCGGCAAAAAATAAAAAATATATAAAAAAAAATAAACGTCTTGCGCTAGTGTGAGAGATAATCGTAGAATCACATCCTCTGAAACTTTGAGCATTTAGATGACGTCATGATGTGGACCATGTGGTTCAATATGATATCAGGGCAAACAAATTCGATTCTAGTCATCACTTATTGATGAAAATTGAGAATTGTGTACATGTTAGGCCCAGACAATGGGATTCATCGTACCTCTAATTTTAAGAATGGACCTCTCTATCTTCCTTGCACAACCCACACAATGCAACTCCACAAACAAAACTAAAGGGGAGGGTGGCTTAGGTTCTTCTTTCTTCTCCTCCATTTTCTCTTCTTTCTTTTGCTCTGGTTTAGCTTCTTCCTGCTAGAAAAGGTATTTGCATTAAAATCACATTTATAACTATAATTTTCGTTTAAATTAACAGCATTTGGATTGAATGATCCACTAACCTGTTTTACTTCTTCACCCATTGTGCCCAGAAAATTTCACTTCTTTTATAATGAAAAACAAGTAGAAATTCTAACTAAAAAATGAGCTTAAGAGGGAGTGGAGACCTAACTAATACTGGAGATTCTCAGATGGAAATGGCAGATGATTTACAGAGAGGGGAAGAAGAGGAAATTATAAGGAGTAGATGCTATGCTTGACACGCATGTGATATAACATTTTCGAGAATATTATCGAGTTTTAATAATTCTATTCAAAATTATTACATCCTTTTTGCATAATGTAGCAAAGATTTTTCCATTTGTTCATTATTGGTAAAACTTAAAAGTAGCTTTTTGACACAATTTGTGGACTTAATGTGTTGATCATTGTGTCACTACTTTTTATCTTTAATTTGAACAGACAAGGTAGGATTAAACTTTAGGGATTTCAAAGTACTAATGATTTGCATGTAATGGTCCACTCATCCACATGTTAACTAGTGAATTTCTCGAAGTTTTCTAGTACTATTGTGGAAGGTAAAATGGATTTTGAATGAATTTACCAATATATACATATAACTCGATTTTATCAAAATTTCTTGATACCTTAGGCATGTAGTACGCCTCATGTGGCGAAGAAGACTTTATATGTAATCACGAGTTCCATATCTACTCATAATTATGTACGTTGTTGTTCGAAAGTATATGCTAAACATGTTTTGCAATCACATATGTAGTAGTGTTTGGTGATTGCGACTCTCTATTTAATATTAGCGATAGATAATATTTAAATTATCTCACATTATTCTAAACCTAAATCGCGTACCACTTAAAATCGTAGAACAAACAAATCCTTCGGCCTTCTTCAACCAAGGATGTGATAAGCGGGCGGCATGGCTCGATCACAAACTAGTCTCCTTCGAAGATGACATATAACTCATTTTTTACTATAACTGAGTAAGCAATAGGTCCTGCCTTTCTTGAATCAACCTTATTTGATAGAGGATGGTGGTCATCTATCAAACTGTATACCATTGAATAATAAAAAAAGAATAAAAAAATGTTAAATCACATTCATTTTACTATTGAGTTTGATCGTGAAGATTATCTGCATAAAGAAAAGAGGAAAAAAAAATTAAATTACATTCATTATACTATTGAGTTTAATCGTTAAGAACAGATTTTGGTAACATGATTGGAGAGAGAGATGGGTGCCCTACAAATGATCTTTCATCATCTACCTCACCAAACAAGAATGGATATGGAGAGAGATGACTTGTCCCATCTCCTTTTATTATATATTGCCAAATCAATTAACATCTTCACGGTAAATTAGAAAGGCGATTGCTTTGTTGGCTCTTGTAATTTTGTCTTCGATCGAAAACTTTTCACTCAAAAAAGTTGCAAATATCGTGTTGAAATGTTAAACTTTATAAAACTAGAAATTTTAGAATTTGAAAATCTAAATTTCTTTATTATCAAGATTTTGCATATCAAATCACCAAGAAAATTAATAATACAAAACATACCTTAATTCTTAGGGAATGATTTTTTCTTACTCGATCTTGAAACTTGAACTGCAATCTTTTTATTTTTGACTTCTTTACTTTTGATTTTGAATTTTGCCTCGTTCTTGAATATAATTGCTTCAAACTATTCTTCTTGATTCTTAATTGTTGATCTTGATTGTGGATTTTGAATATTCCTCTTCAATATAACTTCTCTTGTATTCTTATGTTGATGGAATGACACAAAAAATGAGAAGTTACATATGAATTGGAGACCATAGCCTATATATAATTTACATATGTATTTCGCTATCATAAAATACAATTACAAAAGAATCTGATCTCTATACATGTAATCTGACCCACACTTTATTTAAATGCCCTAAACCTAATTTAATTTTTTTATTAGATCAATTTAATTTATGCCCACATGACAAATTAAAATCTTCCCAACATCTTGTAAACAATGTTGACAAAATATCCCAATGTTGTTAAGGAAACTTGTACGGAAATGACTCAGCATGGGACCCATGCAAAGCCGACTTTGGATAAAATACAAATAGAAATAATAACATTGTTTTATTTTGATCAATGTTCTTTTTCTTTCTTTTATTATTTTTTTTTTTAATATTTCAAATTAATTGCTTCACTTTCGTTTTGGTGATTAAGGTGGAACAACACTATCAAATCTTGTGATTAACGGTGTTTCGGAACCTTACAAAGGCATCCCATGAAATGTCAATAAAATATTCTGTCAATCTTTAATTTCAATAAATTTCAAAATTTACTTAATAAATTTGTAGGATTCATTACATCTTGTATTATTCTATCAATATAAAAAGCCATAATATCCACACACAATCCTACCAAAAAGTTGGGAATCAAGAAAATTTACTCTCAGGTGTCACCTTCTATTTGAAAATTCTTGTCTTGTTTAAGAATTACATCTTTTTAATTATTGTAAAATGTTTAATTTTGAGATTCTAGTAGTAGGTTAGAAGCATCTAGACAAATGGAATTTTGCCTCTTTGATAAAGAAAATTAATAATCAAGCTCAACCAACCACCAATTAATTTAACTTTTTTTTTCTTCAACAAAAATTAAGCTCTTGTTTGAGTCCCATTCTTGCCAAAAATACAATTTTGAATAGTGTATTGATGAGAAATGTGTGGTTAAAAAATAAAGAAAAGTTTTTAATTTTCGTGTAATATTATTTTAATAAAGAATGCGTGATTGAAATAGGGTCAAAGCACCGTTAAAGAATGTATTGATGAAAATAATGGGGCTTAAACAAGGACTAAATCTACCCGATTCTAATTGGTTGAGAATTTAATTATGAACATTAGACAAAGTTTTATATTTCTATAACATCCACTATTTAAAATAAAATAATAATAAATAAATAAATAATCAAACTTTCCATTACCAAATTGTACATACTTATTTTGCATGATTCGATAATAATTAAAAATGTATGTATATACACTTTTCCCCACTTCATACTCTTCACAATAAAATAAGTTGCAAATAAAAAATATTTTTGGTTCCAAGAATGTGCCAATCTTCCCATCTCTAACTTTGATAAAGAAAAATAAATAAATATTGATTATATTAAATAATTTAAGCTTTTAAATACGAGTTACGATCTTCTAAGTACCGGAAGTGGTACACTATAATAGGCAATGGATCTAAGCATATGATGCTTAGGATAAATTAAGTACCTGTGTTTGCGAGATTAAATCTGTTCATATCACTATTTAAAAGGACCGTAGATCATGGAGGGAGAGAGAAAAGATAACATAGTTTTTCTTGATGGATATGAAAACAATATCGTTTTGGAGACATTGGAAGTTAAGTATGACGAGGAAGACTTGACTTTGATGTTGTTGTGTTTGTTGCCGTCATCATATGTGACTTTGAAGATATTATTCTCTATAGTCGGGATACTCTCACTGTGAGAAAGGTCTCTGATACTTTACCATCTAATGAGAAGATGAGGCATCTTGCTAGAGGATTTAGGAGTCAGGCTGAAGGCTTGGTTATTCGTGGGAGAAATCAAGATAGGTATTTCGGTAGGAATATAAGGGGCAAATCGAAATCTAGACATGTAGAGAACGTATGTAATTACTTTAAGAAGAAGGTGTATGTTAGAACTGATTGCTATTCATTGAAAAACAGAAATAAGCTATTAGTGCTACTAATAAAGGAAAGCAACATGTTAACACAACGGAAGCTGTTGTTGTGGAAGACAGGCAAAGCGAATGAGAGCTTCTTGTAATTTCTAATATGGGTTCCAAATCTTGTAAGGAATGGGTTCTTGACTCAGCATGTACTTTCCATATGTTTCCCAGCAAGACTAGTTTACAACATATGAAAGAGTTTCGAGAGATACAGTGATTATGAGAAATAATGTGCCTTGCAAAATTGTTGGAGTTAGTATAGTTATAATCAAAAATTTTCAATGGTGCTATTAGAACGCTGACAGATGCAAGACACATTCTAGAACTGAAGCAAAATCTCATATATTTGAGTATACTTGACTCAAAAAAAAAAAAAACCCGATGAAGATGGTGTTTCGAAGGTGAGTGGGGACACTCTTGTTGTCACGAAAGGACAGAAAAGCTCTACACAGTTATACATTTTGCAGGGTTCCACAGTTTCAGGAGATGCAGCAGTTTTTACTTCTTTATTAACTGATGAGGAAGTTATTAAACTTTAGCATATGCGGCTGGAGTATATGAGTAAGAAAGGTATAGCAGAATTGAGTAAGAGAGAACTTCTTGATGGATGGAAGACCAGGAAAGATTAATAATAAAATAATATTACTGATTTTTATTATCTTGAAACAACGTCCATAAAATTTTAATCATCACGATATTATGTTAAAAGAGAATGAAATTTGAACATCCGTGAATTTAGTTCTGCAAAATCCCACTGCCTCGATCAACTGTATTACACTTCAAAAGCAGCACCATACAATATGACACAACACGAGTTTTGACTGATTCGATACAATTGTTATAACATGGGGCCTAACTATGGGGTGGAAAGTTGAACAAGTCACTAGCCTACTAGGGAGTCTAGCAGCCATTTAATTTTGTGAGGTGCTTGTTGTAGGCTCGTGTGCGAGCCAACTCGTCAATGTTGGAAAAAATATGCATTTTCAGTAAAAATAAAATAAAGTTACGTAATGAGTTATGCTTAATTGTCTGAGCAAGATGAGCCCCAATGTTGTCGATTTTATATTCGCGAGTATATGGGTCGTAACAAGTAATAATGGACCTAAGAGTCCGGATTATCATTCCCGCGAGAACTATACTTTAATACTCAATTTATTATTTCTAACTCTATTTGATAAAAAGAAACAAAAACAATGATAGGTTATGCTTTTGAATCTAACTACCTAACAATATATGGATGCACACAAAGAATAATTGAGAACTCAAATAATAAATGGATATTAGGGTGGAGCAATGTCACCTATTGATCACCTTTAAGTCTTAAATTAAGATTCACAAAATTTAAGGTTGTGTTCAGTCGAATTTTCCTATTGTAGTCAATTTATCCCCCCCGCCTTGAGTTCTTATTCAGCTTATTTGACTACCTCAATTCCATATCTCTATGCGAATCAAACTTAGTTAAACGAAATATTGGTTTTAAAAATTCGTATATGACCACAGTAATTAATATTGGTATCTCTACAGTTATATTAATTTATCAAATTTTAATATGTGGTCTAAAGAAATAATC